AAATAGTACTTTTTTTAACTCAGAAGTCAGTTTACTGCCCCATATTACTCTGCTGTTTTGAATACGTCGGTAATATTTTGATCTCTACTTTCTTTGTCTCTGAACACTCACATCTATCAGAGGCTCTTTTTATACTTCCCTCAAGATGCTTAGAATATGGCGATCTTATAATCTTTTCCTTAGCTGACAAGTAATGCACCCTTTTTCTTTCCCTTTAGCAACTCCTCTCAATTACATTTCACTATCACAAACTCTGTGCTCAGGATGTAGGCAGATGTGTCACAAGAAGAAGAATTGGGATTCAGATGAAAGTACTTGTGTGAAGGGCCAGCCAAATAGCTCAGTGGATTAAAGCACCTGCTTAGGCAGATGCAGGGGTCAGAGGTTCGATCCCTGGCCTGCCCTGCTGGCCCCATCTCTAGGCGTGCTGAAACAGCAATTGAGACTGGGTGTGGTGGAGCACACCTGTAATCCCAGCACTTGGGAGGCTGTAAACAGGAGAATCACTATGAGTCTGATTTATGTAGTGAGACCCTGTAGACCCTTACTAAAATACAAAAAAAAAAAGAACCTGTATGAGCCTAAGAGAAAGATCAGACTCAGCGTCTACATGTATCTGTAAAACAAACAAACAAACAAACAAACAAACCCAACCCAAACAAGCAAACAAAAAACACTTGGTCAGATCAATGTTCACATCATTTTTATACTTGATGAAACACCAAGTACACAATTACATAGGCTAAAAAAGTCCATAACTTGATTCATCTTTAAAACTAAGATAATGCATTAAAAACACTGATTTCAAGCATTGTTTATTTAGAAAGTTTCCCTAGAAAGATGCCTGTCTGTCTTAAGATTTGTGCCCAACGGCACACTCTGCAATATGGTCACTGGGGTTAGCAAAGCCGTCCGTGGCTATGAAGCAGATCAACACTAACTGGGCATCTGGGATGGAACCCAAGACCTCCATCTCATTAGCAACAGGCGTTAGCTGAGGGAAGGTGCTCTGCACGGGTAACATTCTGACACCCAGCAGATGGAGGAGGCTTCCCTTGTCACTCTAAATTCCTCTCTTTGTTCTATATTATTCTTTACACCACTCAAATGTAACACAGGGAGGGACATGAAGGGACGTGTCTTTCAAAGAGCCCTTAGAAATCAATTACGGTGTTTTCTTGTTCAGAGGAGGAAAGAGAATTTAAGCCCTAAAAATATCACAGCAAGACTGTTTCAAGAAACTAAAGCCAAAGAAGTACATCTTTGAACAATGATGTTTGAAACATCTTCCATGTAAAATAATCTCAGCTTCAGTCTATTTAGGAACCAAGTAGCCTGAAATCATTTGGAGTGACTGAAAGTTTGAGTACAAATAAATACACCCAAAGAAAAACAAAGATGTGAGCTACTGTTTCCATTTGGGGTGTCAGGGAATTTCAACGCCTGGGTCTGAAGGCCCCGTCTGTGTGTACTTGAGGTTCACAGAAGCCCAGTGAGGTAGGAAGGGAGAAGGTAGAGAATGATGAGATTAAGCAGCACTCCAGAGAAGGCATTCACGTGAATTATTAACCAGGGGCTGACCCGGAGAGGCTGAGGGACTGCAAGGGAGCTTCCACTGGTGTTTCCACTTAGGGACCAGACGGCAAGAGGTACGTAACATGTGCGCACGGACATAAGAAGAAAGCCTTGCTTACCTAGATTCTAGGTCACCTGCCTCTGTCTCAGGTGCTAACGAAAAAGGATTCTTTGAGAGAGAGAGAGAGAGAGAGAGAGAGAGAGAGAGAGAGAGAGAGAGAGAGAGAGATCCCCAGCAGCCTTCAAAGTCATTATTCTATAGGTGAGTGAGTGCCTTGGAGCTGCTTACTGCAGGGAACCACATCTGAGAGATAAGGTTTTTCCCGATGGTCTCAGGAGGAGAAAGACAACTTCCTGCAGACAGCCTTGTTAATGCTATTCTCTGTCAGTGAATCCCCAGCAGTGTGATTTCCAGGTGAACCTTACTGTTTCAATGTCTGGGCCTTTATCAGGCCTTTTCGGATTTGTTCGCCTTCCCAGACACCTGCTGGGAGAAGGGAGGCATTACACATCCTGGATGTGTCCACGTTATGAATTAGCTCAGCCCCCACACTGAGCACACCTGTTAGCCTGGTACTCAGGGAAGCCGAGGCAAGAAATGGCAAGTTGAGCCCAGCCTGGGAAACTTAGTGAGATCTTGTCTCATGATTAAAGAAGAAGAAGAAGAAGAAGAAGAAGAAGAAGAAGAAGAAGAAGAAGAAGAAGAAGAAGAAAGAAAAGAGTTTGACATGGTGGTGCAGGCCTGTAATCCCAACAGCAGGAAGGTTGAGGCAGGAGGATCACTGCAGGATCAACCTCAGCTTGGGCTATACAGTGAGTTCAAGACCAGCCTAAAGTACATGGTTACATTATTTCAATAAATAAATAAATAAATAAATAAGAAAAATAAAAGATGGGCTGAGAATTTAGCTCAGTGTAAAGGCCTTAGGTTTAATCCCCAGTGGCAGGAAAAAAAAAAAAAAAAAAAAAAAAAAAAAAAGAAGGAAGAGGAGGAGGAGGAGGAGGAGGAGGAGGTGAGAAGAAAGAATCAGCTTAGCCATGACTTCTAGGAAGCCTTTCCACATTGTTACAAGCACCCCTGGGCATGGGCCCAATTGCACAAGTCCAGCTGCACCTGTCTTGCACACCCGACCCCTCACATTTACCACACTGATGTGCAAGGCCTGCCTTGCCAGGCAGAATTCCGGACACCAAGGGCCATCTAGTCTTGGGCATCTGCCTTAATGCCAGCCCGTAACGTGCCCAGCCCAAGGCAGGCCACTGACGCACATTTATAACACAAGAACAGTGAACTTGCACCAATATCTCTGAAAGTACAAGAACAATAGCAGCACCATCCAGAAATGATCTGGAAACATTTCATCGATGATGGATTTTCGGAAAGAGGAATCTAAAATTAATTAAGTTTTTTGGAGGGCAAGGTGTTAGTTTGACACAAAGCTCATGGCCTTTTTTTCCTTCTCCAGTAGTTGGTCTCTGGCTATTTGCTGCTATTTTTCCAGACTTGAAAGAGAAGGAGAGGGGCTAGAATGCTGATCACGAATGAAGCCGAGCGAAGGCAGCGTTGGACAGGTTGGACGTGGTGAACAAAGTCAGGGGTCAGCCAAGGGGCTTGACAATCAACGGTGCTCACGCACCTCGGCCTTGCTAGGTCACAACCCAGGACCCTTGGCTGCCCAACACCTGAGGCGTATTTTATGTTTTGGTTTTTTTTTTGCAGGAACCGGGGATTGAACTCAGACCCTTGTGCTTGCCAGGGAAGCGCTTATTCCACTGAGCCATCTCCCCAGCCCCAGGGACTAAGTTTTTTTTTTTTTTTTTTTTTTTTTTTTCCTGAGGCGTATTTTACCAGACTTTTTTCAGCTTCCTAAGGTTTGCCCCTGACTTCCTGAAGAACACGTCAAGCCACACGCCATGCATGATTTCTGGTTTGAAGAATTTGACCACCCTACCAATGGAAGAAATAGTCAGGTGATCTGCTTCACGAGGGTTCATTTCATGGGCTGCTGAAAACATTCAGCAGTTTACTTTCTGAAACTGATTCAAGGGACACCGCTTAAATGAAAAAATTCAATCAAAAATAATATTACATTTTGCGAGGATTTTTAATACAGGAGTTCCATCTGTGATATATTTAAATTCTAGGCCTTAGGCAGCAATTTCAGAAAAGGGTCTCTTCTACCCTTTATTAGATACAAAATAGTCTGGTCTGGGGGTGGAGGCCTCTTCTTACTCCCTCACCCCTAACAAATAAAAGACTTGCTTCACCCTTCCTGAGATTGCACAAGCTACTTTTGTTGCTTTTTCCGCACTGTGAACTCTGGTAGGGACATCCAAATGCTTAGCACAACTTTAATCACCTGAATTATTCTGCCCATACTCCTATCTACCTAGTAGAGGAAAATGGTGAACAGCCCAATGACAGCTGATTGTCAGGCACACATAAGCAGTCATTTCCAAAGTACAATTTGTCCTCTGCGCGCGCCTGTGTGTGTGTGTAGTTTTTTGTGTTTTTTTTGACACAGTTATACTATTTGCTTCAGGTCCACCTTGAACTTGCTATTATGTAGCTCAGTCTGGCCTTCAACTCAAAAGCAATCCTCCTGCCTCAGCCTCCTAAATTCTGGGATTGCACCACGCCCTGCATGTTGTGCGGATCTCCAGTAGTCTGGCCACGTTGACAAAGGCAGGCTTTGCTATTCCAGAGCGCTCAGCCATCTTGACTGAATGTGTTAGGGGTGCAGCCTGACCATGCCTGGCAAGATCCGTGCACAGTGGTCTCTAAGTTGAGTAGGAGTGTGGTGGGTCTCAGGAGAGGCCTACCCCTCCCTGGACGCTGTCCAGGCAGACCCACGTGAAGGCAGCGCCCGGGAGACGCAAGTTTGCATACACAGTTTTATTATGCATTCTTGCAGTCCTAAAAGAGGGGGAGCATGCCACTCTGTCAGAAGCTTAAAACTTTATTTCCCATTTTTTCCTGACCTGTGGAACCGATTCGGCCTTCGAGGAGCGTTTGGGGAAGGCCTGGGCCCACCGCCGAATGGCTGCACGCATGCATTTTCCTGTACATGGTGGCTCAGCAGCTCTGAGGATCGCTTTAAAAA